ACCGACTTGTCAGGCTGTCACACAGAGGATGCCTCTGGATGATTTAGGTGTCCTGGTGTCTCAGACTCTGACCCTGTACTGGCATTAGAAAAAAATATGTTTGAATCCCAGTTCTATCCTCCTGTCTTGGACTGTCAGGGCCCATGTTTCAATGCAACCTGTAGCAGGATGCTACTTCCTTCTTATTTCTCTGCAGCTGCTCAGACCACGTCTATTCAAATTGCCATGCCCATGCTGGCACAGTTCAAATATTAATGAGTGCAAACCAGTAAAGAGTATGGGGAAGAGAGAAGGCCTGGGAGAGAGGGGGCTGTGAGAAGTCCCAGTAATGACTGTGCTGTACCTTCATGCCCAGTTTTGATCATTTATAGACAGACTCAAAACTGTCTCCCCTTGATAGATAAGTCTTCATTGCTGGCCACAGACAGCTACAGGTGGGTATCATAGCTTATAGGTTACAAGACAAGACAGAGAAGTGGGTTTAGGACAATAAAGGAAGAAGGGGAGCTCAGAAGACCTGCCAATCCACCTTGCATGGCCAGTCCTTTGAAATCATGAGTCAGATTTGATCACTCTCCTGAGCAAATGTAGGGTTACCTACAGGAGTACTCAGAACCAAATGTAGGTTCTGACCATGACCTACATCCAGAGGCCCTCCTGTGATGCCATCCCTCCCTAACCTCTGTGCTTCCCTCATCCTCCAGGTCCCTGGCATTTCAGCCATTTCAATACATGAAGCTTGCAGTGTGTGAAGCTTTTCAGTCTTTTGCAAACTCTCTGATGGTCAATCACAGCATCGTACTTCATATTTATACCTACACATGTTTGTAGGTACACACGCACCTGTGAAATTCTGTGTGTGAAGGTCAGAGGTTCATGTTAGATGCCTTCTTCAGTCACTCTCAACCTTATTTTTTGAGACAGGTCTAGCTCATGGATTTGACTAGACTGGCTGTCCAGCTAACCCCAGGGATCCTTTTGCCTCCATTTCTCCACCACTAGGACAACAAGTACACACTGCCATGCCCAGCTTTTACATGGGTACCAAGAATCCAGAATTGGGGCCTCAGAGATTACTCATTGAGCCCTCTCCCCAGACCCCCTACTTATTATTAGGAGTACTATTGGTACTGGAAGCTGTTTGTGTAGACTTTACCTGCCTCTTTCCTAATAGGGTAGTCTAAGAGAAATTTTGTCTCTTGTGACACCCAGCTACAACTAAAGACATTTTTATCATCTTGGGAGGTATGAGAGTAGGATGAAGGAAGCCTGTCGGTATCCACCAAGTAAAAGGCAGTGACACTATTAAAAGATCCTGCAGTGTATGGGGCTATCTCCCACAGCAAATGATTGCCTGGCTCAAAATATCACTGGTGTTACAGCTGAAACATCCTGGAATAGAAGGTAAGATCCATAGGGCTAATGCTGCCAAGATTCAATCCCTGGAACTCTCCCACTACCTGATGCCTGGTAGATGCTCGCCCACAGGCATTAACAGGCTTGGGAAGTCACTCTTGTCACAGGGTAGTCCTGAGTGTAGTGATGGGAACTGCCTGATGTCACCACGGGATGATCTTATATCAACATCTATGTATGATTTGCAGGACAGGTATGTGTAGCCTTTCTATCCGTTTATATTCCCATGTCTCTACATCAGATGTCAGGGCAGCTTGCCATACTGTACCACCATTCAGTCTTAAGTGATACTTTTGATATCATTATACATTAATTTTTTTTAAAAATCTGGGACTGGGGAGATAGCTCAGTTGGGCAAGCACGAGGACTTGAGTATGATTTCCAGAACCCATGTCTAAAAATAACAAAACCAAAAACACTGGGCTTGATAGTAGGTGCCTAAAATGCAGGGAGATAGAGATGGGCAGATCCCTGGGACTTACTGACCAGTCAATCTAGTCTATTTAGCAAGTTCTAAGCCAGTGGAAGATGGTCTCAAAAAAAAGTGTGTAGCATCTGAAGAATGACACCCAAGGCTGTCCTCTTCCCATCCACCCCACATATACATGTACACATATGTAGGCACAACCACACACACAGGATTTCAAAGAAGCATATTAAGGATATCAGTTAAGCATAACCTGAACAAGGAATGTAAAATGCTTGCACCTAGGAACCTCGTGCTGTAGGTGAGTAACGTGATCAAGAATGGTACTCAGGAAAATGACACAAGAGGAAGTATTTCACAGGTGATGATGCGTCCAATGATACTAGGTATGGCAAACACACTATATTAACCTATGTAAGCCGGAACTCTGTCCCCCAGGCTTCCCACTCTTGCCTGGCTCTAGGATAGCCCGGATCTCTAGGACACACTGAGATTTGGAAGAAGGGCCTGAAGGAGTAGCTGCCATCTTCCCTGTGTGACTAACAGTTATACAGGATCCTGGGTGACTTGATCCCTAGAGTATAACCATGAACCCACAGATTGCCAAGGTAATGGACATATCTGCCCAGAACTTTCTAGCTCTCCTCTTTCCATCCTCTAGGTATGCCAGATGCATGTTTGGTTCTATGGTAAAGGGCAGTATAGGGAGCATTCATGACAAGAGCACAGCCATGTTGAGAATGCTAATCTTCAGACTCATGGGAATGGCAAGGGCTTGCACTGCTGGGAATATGGATGTTGACAGTGTGTCAGAGAGTATGGACCACAGCTTCCTCCACAGATGACAGCAGTCTGAGACTGCTTCTCTACATTCTCTACAAAGGTTCCCTTCTGAGATTAGCTAATCCATGTCTTCCTTCAATTCTATATAACAAATGTGTTGAATTTCCAGATTGCTGGAGTGTCTATATCAGAGTGCAGAGTATATCTGATCCCAGTTTATCTGTATGTATGTTTCTTATTTCTTCATTCCCTGTCATCTGGGTTGAGTGAATCCCAAATGCAGATTACAGCAGTAAATCAATGTCTTTTGACAGGTCACTAACTCCTGCCGTGGTAGTTACTGGAAGGCAGTGTGACACCAACACATATTCTCTTCCATCCTCCCAGATTCTGGCCCATATGCCCAACTTTTCTCTTGATTTTGGTTTAGCAACCTTACAACTACTGTTCCTTCACTCCCTGATGACCCATCTCAGGCTCTAGTCTCAGACACAGAAGTCAAGACCTCCATTGACTCTGTCACCAGAACCCATGCTTTCAGTAAATCCAATCCAGATAATAAACCCACTAAAATTGATCCAAGTAGATTATGTTTCTCTAGGAAACCCTGGGTCAGACACTAGGATTGACCATCTGATGGTCTTCTAGAATCTCTTATGTTCTGGGACCTGTCATGGCCACATAACTGAAAACACAAATGAAGGTTTCTTACTAGAAGAAAATGGATTTTAAACCAGGATTGGTGGCTTGTTCCAGCACTCACGAGGCAGAAGTAGGTAGATCTTTCTGAGTTTGAGTCCAGCCTAGTATATATAGCTATTCTTGGAAAGCCTGGGCTACACAGTGAGACCCTGTCAAAAAAGAAGAGGATGATGAGGATAAGGATGAAGAGAGAAAGAATTAGAGAAAGAGAGAAGAGGAGGGAATCAAATTTAGCATGAAAATGGACTCCATACAATTAGCAAATGATACTTTTGTGCCTGTGGCTGTAATTTTCTCCTTCCTAAATGCATCAGAATGGATCTTGGCCAAGCAGATCAGACGTATGGTTTTCCATATCCTCTGGTGATCCTGTTTCCCTATGTCATCATCTCTTGTTCCCACTCAGGCATTGGCTGCAAAGCCCTTGCACCAAGAGTGACTTGCAATGCTCATTGTCTGACATCAAGTAATTAAACTTACTGGGGAAACAGCTTTCTGTAAGAGGGGGATGCCTTGTCTGCCTTAATCTTTCAGATTTCATTCTTATTTTGTGAGTGCTTAACTATTTTGCATATGTGTTTAGAAACTCTTCACAGAGCCCATCTAAGTAATTATTCTGCCGAGTAACTCCTGCACTGTTTCTCTCTGTTTTGAGATGGAGCAATGCTGGCATGTTGCATTTTACAGCAGATTTCTCATTATTTGGCCTCTTATCCATTTAGCTTGAACCACATTACAAAGAAGACAGAATTAAATGACCTTTGCAGAATCTGACAGCTCATGAAGGCCACTTAACCAGGAGAAGGTCACAGGGTACAAACTCGGGGGGGCAGGGCTAGCAATGGCTTTCAACAGGTAGACTTGAAGCTCAGACTTGGAATAAGCAAAGAGACAGAGGCGCAGGCAGATCTACCCACAGAGATCTTGGGAAGATGTAGTGGGATGGAAGAGCAGAGGAAGAGGGAAGGCACATAATTAAACAAGGCTGGTAGCTGATGCTGGTAGGCAGAGGCAGGCTTGTATGGTGCTTCTCTCTTCATCTCTCCCTGCATATACACGTGCGTGTGTGCGCGCACGCGCGCGCACACACACACACACAACCATTGTGCCTGAATAAGTCATGAAAAGAAGGTGACACTGGCCACAACCCAAACTGGTAGTTGCTTAAAGCAACAGGCCTCAGACCAGATGAAGGTCATCTCAGTTGCCCCACAACTGCAATAGAACATGCACAGCAAATCTGCAGTGAAGTTAGTCCCTACCAACACACATATGTAGCAGCAGTGAATGGTAACTGACTCGTTTGGTCATGGTTGTTACACAGCAGCAGCAAACTGTTACACATTTTTAAGCAGAATATCACATAAACCCTAAAAATCAATTGCATGAAACAGAGATGCAAAATACAGGCCATTGAGGCCTGCCTTAATTATGGTTTTCATTGCTGTCTGTCTATCATCTGTCATCTATCTATATGTGTGTATGTATGTATGTATGCATGTAAGTATGTGTGTGTATTATAATGTGTTATACTGTTTTATATAGTACAAGAGGAGTTGCAATTTTGGATTATGAATCTTTATCTTTAAAAAAATTTTTAATTTAAATTGTGTCAACTATGCTCAAAAACACCTCTATTAATCAAAATAGGAACAATTACAATAAACATATGTTGACCAGTGGGAAATAAGTTTATTCCTGTAGTATAAAAATTGTGCTTTGGGATCCAACAAACACTCCTGGGAAACATTTTCTGTTGCTTGCAACTTGTAAAAGCACACTTCTATAAAATGTCAAGATGTTTGAAGACATGGTGGCCAGTTGGCGTGGTGGATGAGGCAGGACTTCATAGGCTAATCTCTTCAACTCTGAAGTGACGGTTGTGTGATGTATGGCTGAGCATCATCCTGAAAAAGAATCAGGCACTTTCTGTTGACAATATCAGGTGCAGGCACTGTACCTTCGGGTGTACATCATCTGTTTAGTGCATATACCTCCCAAATGTAATTACTTCACTAGGATTCAGAAGGCTATAGTGGAGTAGACTGTCCAACGGTGACCATTATCCTGTCGAATGTAAGTTTGGCTTTAGGAATTCCTCTTAAATCCTTCTCAGTACAGTCACTGATTTGCTGGCCACAGTTGCACCTGCAATTAACTTTCTGCAGCATGTTATACTCTAACAGAGAAATGGTTCGTTGCTGTCACACAGAATAAGAAATGTCAACAGTTCAATACAACAGATCACAACAAAATTTTGATAAGCTCATGGGACACCCTCCCATTGAGCTTTTTCACCTTTTAAATTCATTTCAAATGCCAAATGACCCTTGAGTGGTCTATACTGAGTTCTTTGCAGCTTCCCATATAAGTAGAAGAGGCTTTCATCATAGCTCTCAGTTGGTCTCTATCAACTTCTCAGGACCAGCCACGCACTTTTTAGCCCCAAAGCTCTTGTCTCTGTTTCAAAACTTCTTGACCCACCCCTGTGTTCTCTTTTATAACTATTCCCAGGCCAAATGGATTGTTGATTCTTGGTATTGTCCCTCCTGCTTTACGGCCCATTTTGAACTTGAATAAGGAAATTTCTCAAATTTGCTATTTGCAGAACATCATTTCCATAATATAAAACAAATAAACAATAAGTCATTAGCAAAAATAATAAAGTGAGAACTTTGCAATAAAATGATATACAACATAACCAGGTTTGTTAAGAATGCATTTCCACATCAAACAATACATTTCAACAGTGTACACTTTGTTGTGTTCAAAGTGACAAGTGACCTACAGAGTTTGGCCCTGGTTAAAGCCAAGTAAGGAATCCATGGATGGCAGAGAAGATCAGGCTGTGAGATCAGCTTGGTTAGGGAGTCACTTAGCTTCTGTGACATTCAGTGTCCTCATCTGAGAAGCAATGATGATGATTCTGCCCACATACAGGACGGCAGGACGGATTAACTGAAATGTCTATGAAATGATTAGCACAGTTTCTATAGACCCAGTAACCAATTACGATTGTAATTATCATGGGATGGTGGACTATTTCATGCCCATTATTTTGCCCTAAGAGAACAAATATGATTTCTACGACATGACAGCCTTCCAGTTAAGAGCCTGAACTCTGGGAATGTCAAACCAGGCTTGGAATCCTGCACCATTGCCATTTGCAGTTCCATGACCTTGGGCTTCTTGCTGACCTTGAGTGTAAGCCATGTCCTGCCCTAGAAGATTTAACAGCTTCATAGGGAACATAGGCAGGCTGAGTTCATGCTACCATTGAGTGAGAAGCCTGAAACACGGGAACAAGTGCAGAAACAGCTGCCAAGGTGTGTGAGGGAGGGTGGCGTGCTGCCATGCAGGGCTTCCTGAGCCATCTGTGGCAGAGAGAAAAGAGCTCCTCACCGACTGCCACGGTAAATGCCACCATCTACCCAATGTGACAAGGACCATTGGAATAAGCCTCCTATATTTTACATCCCTGTTTCTCTAAGACCCAGATTCCTGCCAGTACCCTCAGGTGCCTCATCGGGAAGATTCTACCAGAGAGCTAAACACCACTGTAGCCAAGGAGGAAGGCAAGCTAGAAGCCAGCAGCTGAGAGCCACACATTAGCTTTTCTCATTTTTAAAATGCTTTTTCTGTTTTGTTTCTTTTATAAGATTTATTTTTTATTTTATGTGCATTGATGTCTTGTCTGCATGTGTGCCTGTGTGAGGATGTCAGGCCTCCTGGAAATGGAGTTACAGACAAGTTGTGAGCTGCCATATGGGTGCTGGGAATTGAACCAGGGTCCTTTGTAAGAGCAGCCAGTGCTCTTACACACTGAGCCATCTCTCCATACCAGTTTTTCTCATTTTTAGTGGAGAAATATTCTGGACCTGGGATGACTGACTGAGGATGCCAGGTCTATCATTTTTTTATGGGCACATAAAATGGGAAAGTCAGGAGTCTCAGTTCTCTCTGGATTTCTTCATTAGTCCACACTGAGAACTATTACTGCCTTAGTTCAGTTTCTATCACTGTGATAAAACACCATGACCAAAAGCAGCTCTGAAATAAAGGGGTTATTTCCTCTTATAACTCTCCATCACTGAGGAAAGTTGGGATGAGAACTCAACATAGGAACCTGGAGTCAGGAGCTGAAGCAGAGGCCATGGAGAACTGTTGCTTACTGGCTTGTTCCTCATGGATTGCTCACTTTGGTTTCTTTTGTACCCCAGCCCAGGGGTGACATCTGCCTTCAGTGGGCTGGGCATTTCCACATTAATCATTAATGAAGAAAATGTCCCACAGCATTGCCTATTGGCCAGTCTTACAGAGACATTTTCGCAATTGAGTTTGTGTCAAGTTGACAAAAACTAGTTGGCACAGCCACTCAAAACTTCAAGCCAAGTGTTTCCCTTTGGGACTACACAAGTGGCATCCTTCAAGGTCTTCTTGACTGGTTCAGTAATGACCTCAATTAAGAAGGCACATTTATAAAAATGTTGCTGGGAATAGTGTGACTAATACATAATGAAAGATGTTTAGTTCCTACCATGTTCTAGAAATTTATTAAGTCTTTGACCATGCATTTGTGCTTTTCTGTTCAATTTATACTTTGTGTGTTCTGTTTGTATGTATATGTGTGATTTGCATATATGTATGCTGAATGAATGTATCTTAGTCAGTGTTCTATTGCTGTGAAGAGATACCATGACCACAGTAACTCTTATGAAGGAAAACATTTAATTCAGTCTAGCTTATAGCTTCAGAGGTTTAGTTCATTATCATCACGATGGGCCATGGTGGTGTGCAGGCTGACATGCTGTCAGAGAAGGAGCTGAGAGTTCTACATCTTGATCCTCAGGCAACAAGAAGTGAACTGAGACCCACTTCCTCCAACAAGGCCACACCTCCTTACAGTGCCATGCCCTATGAGCTTATGGGGAGCAATTACATTCAAACCACCACTATATCTATGCATGCTCACACGTGTGAGCACGTGTGTGTGTGTGTGTGTGTGTGTGTGTGTGAGAGAGAGAGAGAGAGAGAGAGAGAGAGAGAGAGAGTACACATGCACATGTAGAAGTAGGAATGTGCAGACCAGAGGTTGATGGCAGGTGTCTTCCTCATTTTTTCTCCACCATGTATATTGAGTCTTTGTCTCTTGCTGAACCTTAAGTTCACTAATTCAGCTAGTCTAGCCAGTCAGGCTTCTCTGGGGATCCCTTGTCTCTGCCTATCAAGTGCTGGGATTATAGGCAGACTGCCATACCTGTGCAGTATGCACATCGATGCTGAGGATTCAAACTCTATTCTTCATCCCTACACAGCAATCACTTCATCCACTGAGCCTCCTCCCCATTCCTGAGACAGCATTTAAAAACCATGAATGTAGCTCAAGTCTATGGTCCATTCTGAATTCCAATTTGAGATGCTAGTGGGTTTGTAATTTGTAAGTGGAAAATGCACAGAAATAGGATGTCTCCTCCTGGGAGCTAAAGTGCTTTAATGTTAGTTACTACTCTCCTTCCATATAGAATGGCTGTTACAAGTTAATTTTTTGTTTCTGATTTCCCTGGAAGGAAGGCAGTAAGAATACCCATCCATTCCCAAGATGGCATCTGTCAGCACTTTAGTACCTTTTCCCTACATTAGATGTAATTTACTTTAGCTAAAAAGAATTGATTTCTTTTTACAGTAATAGGTAGAAAAGGAAACATGGCTTAGTGAAGGCATAAGAGGGAGAATGGAGGACAGGAAAGGCCTGATATTCTCCAAGCCCAAACCCTCCCCTCAGAGGGACCTGTAAGCCATGGCCAGAACACAACGGGTTGGGAGTTCTGGGGAAGATATAGAAGAGGCCTATGAGACCAAGCATAGGAACTTAGATTTGAGCTGTTAAACAAGAAGACAAAAACCCAACAGCTTCTTGAGAGAAAAGCAACCCAGAAAAGAGGGGTCTGACCTGGCTAGAGTGTGAGGCAGGTTTGAGGATGGTAAGGGTCCAACAAGGAGGCTGGCAAAGGGGACTACCAGATGTGACAAGACCCTTAAAAGAATGGAGGTGTGACTCCATCTCTTCAGCAGCAAGGCATGGACGATGCTCCCACCAGGCGGTTGTGAGGCTAACACAACAGCTCTACAAACCAACACGGAAGACCGCAAAGACCTTGTGTGAAGATTTTACTCATAAAAAGGTACATGTTGAGCCAGGCGGTGGTGGCACACGCCTTTAATCCCAGCACTCAGGAGGCAGAGGCAGGCGGATCTCTGTGATCGAGGCCGGGCTGGACCGATAGGCTCCAAAATAATATAGAGAAACCCTGTCTCGTAAAAACAAAAAAAAAAAAAAAAAAAAAAAGGTACATGTTGGTGAGAGTGAAGAGGAGACACACTTCATGGTCTGGTGTTCCTCAAGTTAATTGGGAAGGCGGGTTAGTCCAGGTTCTCTAGAGAAATCAGCTGTTAGAATTAATAGATATAAAAAGGGAATTATTAGAGTGGCCTACAGGACAATGTCTAGGCAGTCAACAATGTCTGTCTTACACTACAGAGACTGGCAGCCCTGTAGTTGCTCATTTCATGAGGGCTGGATGTCTCAGTAGTTCCAACCTGGCATGAAAACCTGGAGGATTCCTAGGGAGTTGATGGTCCTCAGTCTACACTGGAAGCCCAAATAACCTGGTTCTAACATCAACGAAGGAATGCCACAGCAACAGGGTGGATGAACTAACTAGCAGAGTGAGGGTAAGTAGGCAAAAGCAAAGCTTTCCTTTTTCCATGGCCTTTGTTCTGAGATGCCGCCAAAAGGTCCAGCCCACATTTAGTGTGAGTCTTTCCATGTTAAATAATCTGATCAGAAAGGGCCCTCATGGGAATGCCCAGTGCTTTGCATGCTCATTGATTCCAGAAGCAATCATATTGATAACCAGAAGTTTCCATCACAGAAAAAAAAGCGGGGGGGGGCGGGGGGGTTGTTGAAACAGAAGTGACCACTTCCCTCCTGTACAACCTGGCAGACAGGCTTACTCCCAAGAAACCAATTAGAATGTTCCTTCTAAGTTACAACTGTGTGTGTGTGTGTGTGTGTGAGAGAGAGAGAGAGAGAGACAGAGAGAGAGAGAGAGAGAGAGAGACAGAGAGAGAGAGAGAGAGAGAGAGAGAGAGAGAGAGAGAGAGAGAGAGAGAGAGAGAGAGAGAGAACATGGGCCATAGTGCCCATAGTAACACGAAGAGTTTCTTATTCACTGTCTCAGGGAACTTTAAAAAATACAAGATTTGTCTGCCCATTGCACCATGGTTTGTTAGCAGAGTTATTTTAAGTCACATACTCTAAGTTGTGCTAAGTCTCCTGTGTGTACACCAGGGATGGTGCTAATCCTTCACGAGGATAATGTTAGACTGTGTGTGAAAAACAGAGCAAGTCATTTATGAATGGTGACAACTACGCTAGAACCCCGTAGTGAAAGCCACACTCCTTCATGTTTAAGAATGGAGGCTTCACAATGCCCTTCAAAGGAGGAGCATGCCCTCCACACCAGGGAGTTTTCTGGCTAATCGATCCATCTTCTTTAGTGCTGAGACAGAATGTCATGGGGGAGGACCTGGGGCTGGCTGTCAGGCTCTGGTCTGATACTCAGGGTACCCGTAAGGCACTGAGAAAGACACCCTTTCAGGCTCCCTTTCCACATTCAGGTTCTCTGTGGTTAACTGTGAACTTAGTCATGTCATAAAGCTAAGTGAAGTCTTGAATAAGTAGTTTTGAAAGTTCTTAAGATAGGAGCTGGCCACTGCAAGACACTGTACAGAAATGTCTTTATTTGCTGAAAAAATAAACACAGCATGCTCCCAGAAAGGACCTCAGGCTGGGCTGGTCAACCTGCTTTGGCTCAAGTTACATTTACTTCTGTGATGCTGTTATGTTGCCCTGGGTAAGAAAAAGAACGCAAATCTCCTCATTTCTGCAATATAATCCATCCATTTTAGAAGCCGGTTGTTTTTATTACTCTTCATAATTACATTTATAACTTTTTCTTGTCACAGCTCCAATAGTCCTTTGGACTTCAGAGATGCATTTGGTGTGTGATGTCTATACGAGGTAGGTCAAACAAGGCCAAGCAAGACACACTCCAGGTGCAGCTTCATAACCATCATTTTAAAAGCCAGGGAATTCTGAGGTAAAGTGCTTGCCCTGTCAGCATGTGACCTGAGTGAAGATCCCACATAAAAAGCCAAATGTGACAGTGTGCCTGTGATCCAAGTATGGAAGAGGAGGGAGACAGGAGGGATCCTGGGGCTTGCTTTCCAGACAGACTAGCCAACTGGAGTGTACCAAGTTAAGTAGGAGACCATGCCTAAAAATAGTGAGGTAGAGAATGATGGAGGAGGACACTCAACACCAACCTCTCCTCTTCTGTACACATACACGCTCTCTCTCTCTCTCTCTCTCTCTCTCTCTCTCTCTCTCTCTCTCTGTCTCACACACACACACACACACACACACACACACACACACACACACACCTGAGAAATTCTGAGAAGATAACAGAAGTAGTAATAATATATTATGGTATCCATGTAAATCCCCACATATAAGTAAATAGAGCAATGAAAATGAAGAAAAAATATAAATAAAATTTACAAGTAAATGAAGCAGCAAGGTATGTCCCATGAACAACAAAAGACAACAGACAAGGACAAACCATGAACAGCCACATGATGAGCAGTCCTGAAACCCATCCCTCTCTCCCTCCCAAGGTCCCTGGAGAAAAACTACTGTTAGAAAAATCAAAAATGAGCAAAAACAAAGATGAAAAACAGAAAATCACAATATTGGTAGAAAAGGAAAAGGGAACCAGAAAATTTCACACACAAAGCTACACTATTAACACTGCACCAAAACCATAGAGAACACAACATTGTGGAGCTAGAAAGAACTATTAAGCCAAATTTCCTTCCAAAACTTCAGGATAATGAGTAACGGAAAAGCAAGAAGATCAAACCCCACAAAATATCACACACACACACACACACACACACACACATACACGATGCCATTATCAGTGTCTCTTGAAGATCAAGATGACTATGAAGAAAATATATGATCAATGTCAGGAAGCACTAAGCCCTTAGCCTATCCCTCATGGCAAGAACTAAGGCTGCCCCTCTAGGAGGCAGGGCAACATCTCCTTCCCAGAAACTGAGGATACAAGCATGGGCCACTATGATCAGCCATGAACTTGCAAAAATGTCCAGGATCCTTCTCTCACAGGTGACACCTGTCTCTTCACCCTTTTCTTCTGGACTGGCCTCAATGTCCAGATATGACCAAAGGACTGTGGTTGAAGTGATAAGAAGTGAATCTAGGCTTTGAGTGGCCTTGTGTGCTTCCAGAACACTCTCCAAACCCTGTTTCCACCATGGACCAGGCCCAAGCTTGCTTTATTCAATTCAGCCTGGGGAGGGGAGTGCCTTTACTGATTTCTTTCAATGCAGATATTATCGTTGGGATTTTCTGAAACTCTTCACACTTAGGAGAAGTCATCTTGTGTGGAAAAATACATGGTTCAAGAGAGTGGAGACATGGAAGCAGTTGGCTTAGTGACAAGGTGACTGTAGTTCTGATGTGAACAGAATGTACACTAAATGCCTTCAGGACAAAAATGACAAGTTATCAGAACTAAGGCATTTGCTAATTAGCTAGATTTACTATTCCATAATGTATATAGACTGCAAAACATGTTACATAAAATATGTTGAACTTTACCTGCCAATTAAAAATAAAGGAATTTTAAATAAAACAAAAAACCAAGAGCAGTTGGTTTGATTTTTGCTGCTACTTGAAGAAAAGTGACAGCGAAAATGCTTTTAAGGAAGAAGATGAAAGTGCACAAAAGATATCAAGTCACATACGTAAGAGAGTGATTTTTCACCAAAACATTAATTTAACAATCATTTCCAAGTGTTGAGGTTTCGCTTTTCTTTCTAAGTGATACTTAAATACAGTATACGCCACACTTGGCACTCAAATACCCCGATTGGAGTTTGAAGACATTTTGAAAGATTCAGGCTCCTGCTTCTAGTGCAGGAGGAGGGTGCAGGAATGAATGACTGTAATATGATTGGGGGAGGAGCTGCAGAGGCAACAGGAAGGAGGAGCTGGCTCACCTCAGCACGGAAGACTGCAAAGCTAAGAAAGTCCTTTTCCCTCAATTTGAAATATTGGAGTGATCAAGTTCTTCCTAAGATATTTTGCAGACAGTGCTCAACTCTGGACAAAGAGCCAAATCTTTCCTTCTTCTTCTGGGCTTTATGACAATGTTGGCATCAGAATTCTCTGGAACACTCACAGCTTTAAATATTCTGTTCCATTGTTAACTATCAGACCCATGATTTGGGAAACAAAAAAGACTTTTAAGACAATAATAATAATGATTGGGGGATCAGATATCAGTCTGATATTAAGTTACCAACTTTAAGTTGATAAAAGTTATTTAAAATTCATAGGTTTAAAAAGTTAATTGTGACCAGGCATACACCTTTAATACTGCTACTTGGGAGGCAGAGGTAGGCAGATCTCTGGGAGTTTGAGACCAGCCTGGTCTACAGAGTGAGTCTGAGGTCAGCCCTGTCTCCCAAACCATCAAATAAACAAACAAAGGGTGTGTTTTGCTTTGTGAAAAATCTTCTATGCTATCTTCACCTATTTTTGTTCACAGGTGTGTGCCTATCAAACTTTACGGGGCCAATGTAAAGAGCTTCTAGTAGTTAATAGTGATTATCAACTGATTGGCAGGATGTACAGTCCCCTAGGAGGCAAACCCCTGGGCATGTTTTTAAGGGAGTGTTTAGATTGGATTAACGAGGTGGAAACCCCATCCTAAATATAGGTAGCACTATTCCATGGCCTGGATTCTAAGACTGCACTAAGCGGAGAAAGCAAGTTGAACATCAGTCCTCATATATCCCTGCTTCTTGATGTGGACACATGATCAGCTGCTTCATGCTCCCACTGTCATGACTTCCTCCTATGAAAGATTGTATCCCTTAAAGCCGGGAACTGAAATAGGACATTCCTTACTGAAGCTGCATTTGTCTTTTTTGTCATAGCAATGAGAAAAGCAGTTCATGCAGTACTCCATGGTCAGGGATACTACACTGCATCACAGGATCTTGAACTTCAGTTTACTAGTCTATGAAATGGAAGTGAGGATATTTACCTTGTATAGTTCTGTAACTGACCCAAACCTCGATTCTAGTGACCAGTACTTAGTAGACACTTTGAGATTTTAGGCTTCCTTTTGAACTCTAAGATTTAATTTTCTTTCATTTTACTCAGACTACTTATGTACATATTCCTAATATTATATAAATGTGTTTGGGCAAAGTAACAGAAGAAAAATAAATAGGGAGTGGATAGAAAAACAGCAGCAGACATCGAGTCATGAGTTAGGGTGTTTCCCAACTTAGAAAGGGGACCTTCTAAAGAAGGGTGACATCACTGGGCAGTGTGCTTCGAGGAGTACATAGATGGGCACTTACGTTCCTTGATAAAAGTATACCAGACCAGTTGACAAAGAAAACCACTTCGTGCGTAGGGCCACCTGCTCCCAACCTCCAAAGGAGGAAATGCTGAAGCAGGAGGAAGTGACAGTCCTTTACCACAGGAGCTCCTTTGCAGCTGATTATGTCTTCAACCTGCACACAGTAGGGTTTGTCATAGCCAAGAGGCTGACTGCAGCTATGCTGCTGGAGGGAACATGAGTAAGAGAAAAATGGGAAGAAATACAGTTTGGGGGAATAAGAAAATTACTGGACTACCATAATTCACTTTCCCATCGTTCTGGAAGTTTTAAGTCAAAGCACAGGGTTCTGCCTGGTAGGGACAGGTTCTGTTGAAGACTTGCTCAAGCCTTAGAAGCACAGTGCCTCCTATTGGTGGCTTGCAGGCACTGCCGAGATTATCTGTCAGTGCTCAGAATCCTAAAACATTGCCTTGTTCTACGGTATTTATTGTGCCAGACTCTCACACAGGAAGTATAGAGGGGAATTCAGAGAGCCAACTTGAAGTGGCGTGGAGCCAGAATCACAAAGAACACCTAAAATAGGCTTAACACTTAAATAACCTAGAGATGTTAAGGGTGAGGCAAAAGGTCACAAATGGCATGAAAGTGAAAGGGGAGTAGAAGGGAACATATAAGAGAGCAAGGGGGGAACAGGGAAGAGGGGTGGGCAACAAAAACAATTTTTGTTTGGAAAAAATGCCATGATGAGGCCTAATTCTTTGTTAAGCTAATAAATACATAAAGATAAACCTGTCTACATACCTTATCATCTATTATTACACTAAAATTGAGACTGTGATGGTCAGATCTGGCCACAAATCAGAATAATCTATAAATAGCAATCAACAAATCAGCCTTAGGTCCCATCCATTGACTTTGATTCAATTGGTTGGGGTTGAAATCTAGACATCAATAGTAGGAAGGAATACTACTTATTTGCAAATAGATTAACCAACAAATATGTACTGAGCAGCTAAGAAACTCATTTAGGGAACATGTATTTATAAGGCAAGCTAGGAAAGATATGAGAAGAGAACTCTTACAATTACCTGTAAACATCTTCAGTTACTAAGCAGGGCTCATATGGTCTCACAGAAACTGAAGTGGTAACCTCAGAGCCTGCTTGAGTCTATTATAGGCTCTCTGCATGCATGCTGTGGTTGTTTAGCTAGAGTTTTTGTTGGACTCCAAATAGTGAGAGGAGTGAGTGTCCCTGACTCTTTTGCCTGCTCTTGAGACCCTTTTCCTCCTATGTGGCTACCTTGTCCAGTCTTGATATGAGGGTTTATGCTTACTCTTATTGCATCTTGTGTGCTGTATCTGACTGATATCATTGGGAGATTTGTTCTTCCATTTCTCTTCAGTCTTTTTAAAAATACAAAATCCCTTTTAAAAATTCAAAGTTTCTCAACTATTGGCTCCTATAAAATCAAAATTAAGTTAAATACTTTCTTTCTTCAAGATGGATGAACCAGGGAGTAGCAATAATCAGAACAAATTAAAATGAAGCTCCAACAGTGTAAATAACTCAATTCCTAATTATATGGGATTCACTTACAATCTTCCGGGCTCATCCAAGGGGTTTAAGGTCACTTCTCTGACTGCCCTCTGCAGCACACACAGCTTGTCCTCTAGGCTCTGGCTGGCTCCACACTACCACTGCTGCTGTTCTTGATGGTTATCCCATGGTACTGACATCTACAAAATGCTGGGGTCTTCGACTGAAACTGGCAAGCAATTCCACCAATAGTCTGTCCTTGGCTCTCTCATTGTACCAAGCTTAAACTGCTCTTCGTGGCCCTTCAATCCTGGAACTTCCACTGCCACTGAAGCTGCACCTTTATCATTGGCCTCTCATGGTATGTCAAGACTCAGCTGCTTTCCATAATCTCTTTGTGTTTTCAAAACCAGCACTACCTTGGTGACTCTTACACTACCAAGTTAAGCTGTTGGTTCAAGGTACAACCTTGGTCACCTCTGGAACACAATTTCTGTGCCATGAGGCTCAGGAAACACTTCCCAAAAGATTTCACCTGAATGATACTGGTATCTTCTTAATCACCACTAATTTCTCAGCTCCAGCTGACCATCATCAATTGCCTCAGTAAAGCAAAGGTTTCACTTCCATGGTGCTGGTCTCTTGTGTATCATGGCTGACTCTATAGTCTCAGCTGACCAGAACCATAGAACCTTAAATCAAAATAGCAATATGCAACAACTTCATAGTCTTTAGTAACTCTCAGACTTCCCTCTGTAACTTCACAAGCCAGCCCTCCATCATCTGCATTTTTCTTAGCACTCTTTTCTTTCAAGTTTCCACAGAACAGCTCAATGAACTTTGAATGTTCAATGGCTTTTCTTGCCCAACATTCCAAAATCTTTCTGCAATCTTCCCCAAAACAACATGGCTAGTTTTGTCTCAGAAATGCCCCATTCCTGATACCAATTTCTGTCCTGATTAGGATTACTATTCCTGTGATAAACCACTATGACCAAAAACAGCTTGGGAATGTTTATTAGGCTCATGTTTCCTCATCATTGTCATTGGAGAAAGTCAGGACAGGAACTCAAACAGGGTAGGAAACTGGAAGCAGACGCTGATTCGGAGGCCATGGAGGAGTGCTGCTTACAGGCTTGCTCCACATGGCTTGCTTAGCCTGCTTTCTTATAGAAGCAAGGCCACCAATCTAGGGTGACCCCACCCACAATTGACTGGGACCTCCCCCATCAATCACTAATTAAGAAAATATCTTATAGGCTTGCCTACAGCTTGATCTTCTGGAATCATTTTCTTAACTGAGGTTCTCTCCTCTTATAGCTTGTGTTAAGTTGACATAAAACTAGCCAGCAACCAGCTAAAGCCACAGGAATAGTGGAGAGGGTGCCTCACATACCAATCAATACATGTCCCAACCTTTGTCTGGACTTTAAAGAGCTACCAAGACCAGCCTGAAACCTATTACCTTGGTTAAGAGGAAAACTAGCTCTGCAGAAAAAAACAAGCTTTGCATCACCTCTGTCACCTATGCACTATGATGCACTTTTAAATGTTTAGATGAATGTCATTTTCATAGCTAAAATAGTCATGAATCCATGGCACATCTGGGTTTAGCATAATCATTTGCATCCCAAATTCCACATCTAACACAATAATTATAAACATTTAGCTGTATTTATCTTTTTTCTTACCTTTTGTCTATTTACATAGTTTTAACCACAATGTACAATTTCTTACTTCTCAATGATGTCAGCATTTTCAGATCAATCCACTGTCTTCAATGTCTGTTAACTATCACATAACATTATATTGATCTAGGTGAGTACACAACCACAGTGGCTGTCTTAGTCTAGCTTCTGTTGCTTTGATAAAACACTCTGGCAAAAGAGACTTACAGGAGAAGGTTCACTTTGGCTTACAGTTCCAGAGGGACACAGTCATCATGATAGTGAAGGCACAATGGCAGGAAAAAAACGAGATCTGCTCAGCATACTGCATAAGCAGTCCCAAAGCAGAAAGAGAAAAGGAAGTGGGGCTGAACTGTAAAACCTCACAGCCCCCCATCCCAAGTAAGATACTCTCCCCAGAAAATCTCCACCTCATAAATGTTTTACAACCTTCCCAAACAGCACCACCAGCTGGACACCAATTCCCAAACCCACTAGTCTATGGGGGACATTTCACAGTCAAACCACAACTGTAGACAGGCACAACACCTTCTAGTTGTTCTTTCTGTAGCTAGCACTACAACAAATGACTTCCAGCCAATGACTAGGCTTCTCCCTAGCTGATAGACCTGTGCTTATCTCATAAAATGGGGGGTGATAAAAGTTCCTATCTCATAGAATTGGCATTGTGAGATGGGCAAATTAATTCACTTAAAGCATAGCAAATGCTCCATGAAATGGAGATACTTGGTTAATGAAATAAATCAAAGGATGGAACCCTATGTTTCAAAGGGATGATTA